AAAATACATCAAAATAAGTAGCCTCTTTTGCAAGCATTTTCAGTGTTGATCCGAAAAATCTGTCGACCCAAAAATATGTGTCCCAACAATTATATAATAATAACAGCTTTACTGAAGTTTCAATGTATTTAGTATTAACTACTAATTGGGGACAAGCTGACAGGTGGTTTCTTTCCCTTTGTTATCTTTTCAATCAGAAAGCAAAAGTGTAAACAAAAGACAGGGTAAAAATCTGCTTGATTGAACGTTGGATCTCACAGGAGATCTAATCAGCCAAACTTGAAAAGGAAAACGACAATAAGTCACTATTACAAGGCTGACACAACGTCGTATAGTTAAAACAATATTTCGGCTGGCCTCAGGTTTAGATGTTACTAAATTACAAAAATGAAATTACAGTATTATATAATGGTGCCGATGTTTGTCCTGTTTTCAATAGCTATTTCGTTCATTAAAAGTTGTTCGTTTCGCTCCTATAAGTTCATTAAGGTCGAGGAATAAGACACATTCTCATCAAAGCTTACCACATTAGCATGCGATTTGCTCATTTTCAGATCACTTTCCAGCAAACACATGCACATCTCCTGGTCATTTTGAACGCCTAGACGACTCAAATGCTCATGAAATTCAGCCTTCAGGTTGGCCATAGTACTGCTTCGAACGTTCGAAGTCAATTCCACTTCAATTTAGCGAAACACCTAATATTAATGGTCGTGTAAAAGCTACAAAATCATCAATATTCGGGCTGGCACGATGCACGCATTGAGTAGCAACCGCGCAAACACGACAGCGAGGCTCGCTCTGACTGTACGGTTACTATTCCAATATGGCGTCGGGCTCGGTTACTATACCAACATCGCGTCGGACTCGAACGCTATCGTTCGGGCCGACTAATTACGAACAGTGTCTACACCTGAGTGAGTGAGTGAGTGAGTGAACATTTGCATAATGGAGTCCCCGCAACAAACACGTTTCTACGCTTCGCGTATCCACGAGCTTAAAAAAAAAAACGAAAGAACTATTCCATAGACAGAACGACAACAGAATTGGTATTTGATGTGAAAACATGTCCAGCTCATAAGTGCCTTGCATTGAAAGCATATTCGCGGAAAATTACTTACCTAAACGCGTGAACAATTTATTGCAAAGTTGACCAAAGTTACTCGCATAAGTTGTTCTGTTATATTGTTCCGATTTGATAGCGTTGTTTTCTTGTGCTTAAATTACATTTGGAAAGCCTGAAATGCGACTAAGAAATAAATTAAACAATCTGGGTTGGTACACTGGCACT